GCAGGTCCCCACCCTGCACTGAACTCCCACGCGACTGTCACTCTCTCTGCAGGAAAGGGACTCCTGGCCCTTCCCAACTGGCCTGACTGCATCGGGAGTGAGGGGGGAGAATACTCAGCCCAGCTCCATCTCACGTGAAAGTACCCTGGGTTCAAATTTAGTTTTCTGGGCTGTAGTCTGAAAGCCTGAGCCTTACCCCTGTGCTTAAAATAGCAGCGTTTTGCTTTAGTCTGGGGGGTGGGGGAAGAGGCTTTAAGAAAGGGGGTGCTCAGAGGACAGATGCTTTGGAAACCAGTGGGGTGGTTTTAAGCGGCGGCTGGAAAGGCATCAACTTGCGTCTCCCTTAGAGCCAGCACTGACCTTAGGAGCTCCAACTTGTGAAATAGCCTCCAGTGGCAAATTCTTTCTGGCTGTCTTATTGATCACATACTGCAGGGCGCTGTGGGCCAGCATTATTTCACCTGTATAGTAAATGTTTCGAGTGAAACTCATAGCAGGTAAAGGGGCTGGAAGAGCAGGGATTATCTGCACAGCGTCTCCAAGCAAGTAAGAAGCCCGTTTAAAACGTGCCATTAGATGGATAATACTTTTGTGATAATTACTGAGGTATATTCACAAGGTGGAGCTACTTGAAAGACTGGCAGCTCTGATGTGATCATCTCTCTCTCCCCTCCACGCTGCGGTTCAGATCTGTCAGTCTTTCATGCTCCTTTACTTAATCTTTTTCCTCTTTGAACTGCAAACTGGTTTCTTTATGTTCACGTTAACTGAGAACAGTTTTGTCACTATCAAATTTCTGGACAGTTTCAAGGGTCTCTGTTGTTGCCATTTGAAAACCTCCGCATCCACGATTAAGAGAATCCGTACCACAAGACTCTCAGCATTTCATCACCTGGGGTGGAGGAGACCAGACTTTTGAAGACTGGATCCTTATTTAAAGGCTGATTTGGTTTATGGGGGAGTAGTAATTCCATCGTCAAAGCTTAATCAGTCTCAGATTTATACATGATAGAGGGGGGATGGTCCTTTGTCTGACCCAGTTTAGAGGAAGGACTGAGCAGGAAGGGGTAGGGAAGAAAGAGGAGGTGTGAGACCCAAAACCCACAGCCGATAAACTAGATCAGTCGCATACACCTGAGACTGAGCTGCTCTTCCAAAGGGACAAGTTCCTGAGCAAGCCAGCGAGAGCGTGAGTGCCAGAAACAGCAGCCACCGCCACCTAAAGACATCACAGCAATATGTTAAGCATGCATTTCAATAAACAGCCGGTGCCTTCAATGCTAATGCATCGCCCAGGCTCCCAAATCCAGAGATTAACTTTATTAGATTAAAGAGAGAGGGAGAGAGAGATTCGCGAGTGTGTATCTATACTAGAGGCAGGAAATAATGTAAGAAAAAATGTATGTTCGCAATTTTGGAGCTTTACAAGATTTCCAGATCTTGTCAGCTGCTCATTATTTAAGAAGAACGTTTAGTACCTGGACCCCAGGATAAAGGAGACCTAATGGGGGAGGGTGAGCTGGAAAGCAAAACCCCGTCACATCTGTCCTGCTTCAGAGCTCAGAGATACAAATCACATTTCCCCGAACTCTTCAGCGCACACTTACTTAATCTTACCCAGTTTCAATGCCAAAAATGCTGCTGCTTTAATACAAACGCACGGACTGACATTGGGCAATTTTAAGCGAGGTTTTAAAGTTCAATCTCAGTATCTCACTACTTTCTCCCTTAATCAATAGGAGTCAACAACATTCCTGGAGGACCGTCCTTTTTCTATTAGCCACCCCCTGACATTTTCACCCAGACGAGAGTGTGAAGAATTCGGAGCCGCTACAGTGTCTCCCTTAAAAAATAATAATAATAATACTAACCGTGCCCATACATACCTGGATCTCTGTGTGGTTTTTGGCTGAGTCACAGAGTGGACGTTTGAGAAGGAATCACGTTACGTTTGCATGCAGCCCTAAACCCTCCGTGTCCAGAACACTAGGGATAAGTAACTTAATCTACTCAAAAAGTAAAGAGCGGGGAGAAACTATTTAAAATCTCTTTGCTTTTCGAGAAGCGCTGATTCTTATGAGTATGCTGATTGGTACACTTCAGTCTCAAGAAGCATTGGCACTCCATGACTTTTAAATGACTGTTTTGTCTGAAATGAGCTTTGTAACTAAATAAAATCAGGTGGATCAGAAATTCGGTACTGAGCCCCCCTCCCTCTCCTTTTTCTGAAAAGGACATAACTCTCCCCCCTTCCCCCCCCCGCGCACACCCTCTTTTTCAATTTCCAAAACTGAAAGCAGACACCGTGTTGTGTATTGTATTTTTTCCCCTGTGTAAGCAGCAAGAGACCTGGTTAATCATCTATTGCAGATACTTGTGCATCAGAAAGAAAAGTGTTGATGTTTGCTTGTTTGAGTTGATGGGGCTGGCCCGCGAATTTCGGATTAGATTACTAATGGCAATAATAAATCTTTGTTCCCCCTTCTTTCTCTCTCTCTCTCTCGCTCTCTTTTCTGCTGGGATTGTCGAAATAACCCATGTAACAACATTCTTTGGAAAAAGTCTGCAGAGCAGCTTTGCAGTATAAAACAGCCTATTGTGCTGTCCTGGGTTAAGTGAAATCTCTCCCGGTTTTAGCCTGTAACAGTTCAAGAGCAAAGCAAATCCCGAGCCTAACTCTAGACCCGCTTTGCAGGTGGATCGGTCAGGAGGAAGTGGAGCAGGACTTCAGCAGGGTAGGTTTCTCAGAGCATGGACCAAAATGAAGTGACAGCTGGAGAATAGGAAGGGGATATTGCAATCCAAGCGGAC